GCCGTGCGCGTGAGTCCCTCACGCCCCAGCAGCTTCGTGAGTGGTACGCTAGTTGGGGCTGTCGGGGTGCCCGTAGTGGGAGTTGCCCTGGAGTGGGTAGTTCGGGAGCTTCTGGTCGTGGACAGGTGCAGCTGCAGCGTCGTCCCCGCGAGGCTCTTTCGCCCCAGCAGCTTCGTGAGTGGTACGCTCAGAGTAGAGGGTCACTGAGTACTGCTCGCTGCCCGTACGTCATTCGCACAGGTGTCCGGACTGGTCAGCCTTGCGGGACCCGTGGCCACACAGAGTCCCACTGCTTCGCCCGTCTGGGCGACGCTTGGCGTACAGAGTTTGGCGACGCCGCTGAGCTCCCCTCCTGGCTGGAGCTGCTTGAGCAGAGGGTAGATATCTTTGCTCTTGACTATGATGCTATCCTCACTGCCATGTATGCATTGTCTACTAGTGCTGAGAGTGCCTGTCACCTGTGTGTGCCGCCTGACCCCGGTATCCAGTCTGCTGCTCTAGGTACTGGTGAGGCTGCCGCTCTAGGTGCTAGTGCGTCTGCTGCCCTAGGTCCTCGTGAGGCTGCTGCTCTAGGTGCTAGTGAGTCTGCTGCTCCAGGTGCTCGTGCGTCTGCACCTGCTGGTACTGCGGCACTGCACACCTTCACACTGGACTCAGGTGCTTCCCGCTGTTTCTTTCGTGACCGCACGGCCCTTGAGCAGCTTGCTCGGCCGGTTGCAGTCTCCCTCGCTGACCCCTCTGGGGGTCCGGTCATTGCGACCTCCTCCACTGTCCTCCCTTGTCCTGCGGTCCCGTCGGGCACACTGTCAGGTCTCTACCTCCCCTCGTTCTCTACGAACTTGGTGGCGGGTAGTGCGCTCCAGGACGGGGGTGTCCACCAGTTCACCCCTGCCTACGAGCGCGTGACACACTGCACGTGCGCTCGGACGGGTCGCCACCTGGCTGCCTTCACTCGGCAGCCGGGGTCGGACCTGTACACACTGACCACTGAGTCCCCTCAGGTAGCTGCGTCTGCGTCTGCGTCAGGTCAGCTGTCGGCCCCCTGCTCGTGTCGCTCCCTGTCGCACCAGACCGTCCTCTGGCACCACCGCCTTGGTCACCCGTCAGTGCAGCGCCTTCGTGGCATGCACTCCCGGTACCTTGTCTCTGGTCTTCCCAGGGTTCTCCCTCCCCTCCCACCCTCGCCTGCTCCTCCCTGTCTTCCCTGTGTCGAGGGGCGGCAGCGCGCCGCTCCTCACTCCTCCTCGTTTCCCCCGACGACTGCTCCCCTGCAGACGCTCCACATGGACGTGTGGGGCCCAGCCCGCGTCCGTGGACAGGGTCACGAGAGGTACTTCTTGATAGTTGTTGACGACTACTCGCGCTACACCACGGTCTTCCCCTTGCGCACCAAGGGTAAATTCCCTGATGTTTTGATCCCTTGGATCCGCGCTGCCCGTCTCTAGCTCAGCGAGAGGTTCCACTCAGACTTTCCTGTCCTGCGTCTGCACTCTGACAGAGGTGGGGAGTTTTCCTCCGACCTCTTGAGGGCCTTCTGTCAGGGGGAGGGCATTGAGCAGTCGTTCACGCTTCCGGCCTCTCCACAGCAGAATGGGGTTGCTGAGCGCCGCATTGGCTTGGTCATGGAGGTCACTCGTACCTCCTTGATCCATGCGGCTGCCCCCCACTTTCTGTGGCCGTTTGCGGTCCGATACGCTGCGCATCATTTCAACCTCTGGCCCCGTGTCTCCGTTCCGGAGACTTCGCCGACACTGCGTTGGACGGGAGAGGTTGGCGATGCGTCGGTGTTTCGGGTCTGGGGATCTCGTGCTTTTGTCCGCGATATGTCCGTGGACAAGCTCTCCTCCCGCGCTGTTCCTTGTGTCTTCCTTGGCTTTGTCCCGGACGCGTCTGGTTGGCAGTTTTACCACGCCACCTCGCGCCGTGTCCTGCCCTCTCAGGACGTCACTTTCGACGAGTCGGTCCCCTACTACCGCCTCTTCCCCTACCGCACTGCCCCGCTCCCCCCCCCGCCTCTCTTCCTCGCACCAGGTGCTGATGTGGTAGACCCCCTCCCCCCTCAGGGTGCCGCTCCCTCAGGTGTGTCTCAGGTAGACCCGGTTGAGCCTGTCGAGGTAGCTGTCGACTCTCGTCCTGCTAGGGGTGCTGAGCCTGAGCGTGCGGAGCCTGGGGGTGCGGAGCCTGGGGGTGCGGAGCCTGGGGGTGCGGAGCCTGGGGGTGCTGAGCCTGAGGGTGCTGAGTCTGGGGGTGCTGAGCCTGAGAGTACTACGTCTGAGGGTACTGAGCCTGGGGGTGCTGCGACTGACAGTGCTGCGCCTGGAGGCGCTCCCTCTTCACAGCAGCTGCGGGAGTGGTACTCGCGGTACTGCAGCCTCAGGAGGGGCGCTTCTGGGGCTAGGGGTGCTGCTGGAGCTGGTGCTCGTGGTTCCCCGCCTAGGCGGGAGCCGCCCTCTCCCCAGCGGCTCCGAGAGTGGTACGCTCGGCGCTGCAGTCTCCGGAGTGGAGCTACTGGTGCTTTGGACCCTGGAGCTGGAGCTGCTGCTGGTGCAGCGGACCCTGGAGCTGGAGCTGCTGCTGGTGCAGCGGACCCTGGAGCTGGAGCTGCTGGTGGTGCTGGTGCTGCTAGTGCAGGAGCTGCTGGTGGTGCTGCTGGTGGTGCTGCTGGTGCTGGAGCTGCTGGAGGCACTGCTGGTGCTGGAGGTGCTGCTGGTGCTGGAGCTGCTGGAGGCGCTGCTGGTGCTGGAGGTGCTACTGGTGCTACTGGAGGTGCTGCTGGTGCAGGTGCTGCTGGAGGTGCTGCTGGTGCTGGAGCTACTGGAGGTCCTGCTGGTGCTGGAGCTGCTGGAGCCGCTGGTTTTGGAGGTGCTCGTACTGGAGGTACTGGAGCTGCTGGGACTGGAGCTGCTACGGGGGTTGGAGCTGGAGGTACTGGAGCTGCTGGGGTTACTGGTGGTGCTGCGGGAGTTGTTGCTGGAGACCCTGGGGCTGAGGGTGCTGGTGCTGTCCCTATCTCGTGGCAGTCGAGCAAACAAGAATTAATCGCTCTCTCCTCAGCTGAAGAAGAATATATCGCACTCTGCTCAGCCACCAAAGAAGGACTGTACCTTCGTGAACTACTGGAAGAAGCGAAGCTAGCTCAGTTACCCAGCTTCTCCCTGTTCTGCGACAACCAATCGACCATTCGCATAGCGAACAATAACGGGTTCGCGAATCGAACGAAGCACATCGCCCTCCGGTACTTCTTCGTAAAAGACGAAATCGAGAAGGGGAGACTTGAGCTATCCTACTGTCCTACATCCGAGATGGCAGCTAATTACTTGACCAAGAAACTCGGAAAGCAGAAGTTCGAGTACTGCATGCTGCTGACTGGACAAAGCCACGTCATCAGCAGCGACACTTCAGAAGCGAAGGGGAGTGTTGGAAACAAGTAATTTAACGCTCCTGTTGTGTCAAAACAATAGACTGCAAACGAGGTGAATCACAGCGGAGCAACGGCGAGTCAACCGAGGAGGTTGACAGAAAGTAACAGCTGGAGGTTACGGGAAGGTCAAAGGTCAGCGACCTTTGACTCGACGAAATACAGCGCGACAGCAAGGACAAACAACTGACTCGGTATTGAGCAGTTGCCCGAGTCGTCACAGTATCGAACCGCAACAGCAACAACAAAACAGTTAGCTGCACCTTTTCATATTCCTTATACTCATATAAAAGTCTTTGTATTATCTTGCTATAATCAATCCCTTGCTGTCACACACTAGTGCAAGTTGGTTCAACAAGTTCATTAAAAGAACGCTTCCGCAACTACAACATTCCTACTCAGGGTCTTAGCCTTGAAAGATCCTAAGAGCTTTTCTCAGCCCAACACCCTCTACATCATGCCTCATTACAGCCTACAACATAAATACGTAGTTTGACACACACGTTCATTGTTTCAAAAGGCAACAAAATATATTTCACTTGGTTTCAGTCCCGCATTTGTTTTGTATATGTGTGTTTGTGTTGTTGTTGTTGTTATTGTTGTTTTTTTTTTTTTTTTTTTTTTTTTTTTTTTTTTTTTGCCCTTTTACGATGGCAAGCCGTTCATGGAGCCTCTACCTTACAATCATTGCCTCATGGTGTTTAGGACGCGTCACTTTTGTTCAATCCAGGGTCCCTATGATCGATATGAGGGGGTTGAAATCAACTGTAGCGTCGTAATACACCATGTTACCAGGATTCGTGGGTGTTGGCGAGTATACAGTTAATACGATGTCACGAACCTGTCCACGACGATTTTTGGCGAAAAGAGTGCAAATTGCAGATTTGCAGCGGGCGGGGCATACCGAACGCCTGCCAATCGTGCGATCGGTGTGAAAAGGTGTCTTTCACATGGCATGCCATCTTGATTTATTCCTGAGCAGAAATGACGTGAGTTTATTCCCGACAAAACGAGGAAGAGTATATATTTCTGGAATAGTGAACGAAAGCATGTAATGTTTCCCTCCAAATTATAACGACGCGTGGGGGAGGCGAAAACAAAGACGTGATATTGGGGCACTCGGCTATTCCCTCCAACAGTCCTGGTTCGGTTACTCCTCCCTAGATTGCTCGCTATCGGCCCGTTTTCCCTTCGCGTTACCTTATCTGCGTGAACACAGTACCCTAGCAACAAAGAAGATGGAGCTAACGACGTGGGAGAGGGGCGAGCGTGCAACACAACCACGACGATAGTGAGAGTAGGGCTTGAAGGGGCCGCAAGGGTTGAGTAGGCGGCGGGCGCTGGATGGATTTGGCGGGGTTCGGGTTGGAGCGAGTGGTGAGCCTGGAGGAGGGCAGCGACGCCGACGACTGGGAGGAGCCCGCCCGCCACGATGCCAACGGCGCCACGGAGGCGACCGTCAATGACTCCGCTGAAGCCGCGTCCCCGGCCGGCCAGACCGCCGCGATTCCCCCAGTCGCGACGACTCGCAGTCGCAATCGCCGTCGCGGTCGTCGCGATCGTCGTCGTCGCAGTCGTCTAGGTCGTCCGCGTCGTCGCGTTCATCGCACAACGACGGGGAGAGTGAAGATCGAGGCGTTGGGGACGAGAAGAAGGAAGGCAATGGGGAGAGGGAGGGCGAGAAGGAAGGGCGGTATGACGGGGAAGGGCCGGGAGGGGATGTGAAGGGCAACGGTGGCGAGGAGTCGACAGGACTAGATCCGCGGGGTGATGGAGGCGATGGCGGCAAGGAGGGGGGGATGGCGGGTGGGGGGACTGGGCTGGGCGTGAACCTGGACTTTGACGAGGACGACGGTAGTGACTATAACGAGTCAAGCGACGGCAAGGGAGGTGGAACGAGGAGTGATAGAAGTGGAGAGGAGTGGAGAGGAAGCGAGGGGGGCGAAGGTGGGGAGCAGGAGCATGCGAGTGGCGTGAAGCGGAAGGAGCGAGGCGCGGGAGTGGCAGCAGAGGGGGATGAGCGGCCCGCCAAGCGGATGGAGGTGGGCGGGGGAGGAGAGGCGGAGGGGCTGCTGGTGCGCGTGGTGGCGGACCACTACAGCCGGCGCGACAACCAGCAGCGCCACGAGCGCGAGGCGAGTCCCATCATCCACCTCAAGAAGCTCAACAACTGGATCAAGTCCGTGCTCATCCGCATGCACACCCACCCCGCGCGTGGGGCGCGCGTGCTAGACCTTGCGTGCGGCAAGGGCGGCGACCTGACCAAGTGGGCGCGCGGGAACGTGGGCTTCTACCTGGGCGTGGACGTGGCGGAGGGCTCCGTGCACGACGCCATGGCGCGCTACAACGGTGACTCGCACCGCGGGGGAGGTGGGGGGGAGGGGGGGGATGGAGACAGGCGGCAGATGCAGTTCCCGGCGAAGCTGGCGTGTGCGGACTGCTTCGGCGTGCCTCTGGACCGCGAGTTGCTGCCATGGGCACCGTTTGACATCTGCTCCACGCAGTTCGCTCTGCACTACTCCTTCGAGACCGAGCAGCGCGCGCGCTGCGGGCTGCGCAACATTGCAGCGCTGCTGCGGCCGGGCGGCATGTTCATCGGCACCATCCCCGACGCCAACGTGCTCGTGCACAAGCTGCGCGCCTCTCCGGACCTCAGGTTCGGCAACTCCGTCTACTCGATCGAGTTTGCCTCGGAGTTTGAAGACAATAATTTCCCGTCCTCACGGCCGTACGGCATCCGCTACGAGTTCCGGCTGGAGGACGCGGTGGACTGCCCCGAGTGGCTCGTGCCGTTCGCCTTCCTGCAGCGCCTGGCGGGCGAGTACGGGCTGCACGCGATCTACCACGCCAACTTCCACTCCTTCATCAAGACGCACGCCGCCGTGGAGCCGCACGCGTCGCTGCTGCGGCGCATCGTGGGCGAGCGGTGGCGCGAGGAGATGACGGCGGACGAGTGGGACGCCGCTTACCTCTACTGCGTGTTCGTCTTCCGCAAGGAGGGCCCAGGGGGGGCTGAGGGGGGTGGCGCTGTGGGGGAGAGGAGGGAGGAGGTGATTAGGAGAATTGAGAGTGATGATATTCTCATTCTTTGATACCGTACGGTGCGGTGATGAGAGGCAAGGGAAAGTTCATTAATTGCATAATGTCAAGTTTTTATGATAGGAAATCCAGTGTACATTGTTGTCTGAAATGTCACATGAAGGAATGTGAGAGCTGAGGAGAACGTCGAGAACCCGAGTGTCCAATGTCGAGAACGTCTGCCTATCCGAATTCATTTGTGCTGCTGCCAATCCCATTCATATCATCCCATCTAGTTCCGCCGTTGTCATTGCCTCAGCAACAGGGTGCCCCCGTCGCGCACGCCACACGCGCCCCCATGGACGCTTCTCCCCTCCGTCCTCGCGGCCGCTCCCCTCGCGCACTCTGTCTCCTCCTTGCCGCTCCGCTGCTCCTCCTCCTCCCCGCGCTCGCGTGCCTTAGCCCTACTCCCCCACTCGCCATACTCCTTTCCTCCTTGTCCTTCGCCCTCCGCCCTCTCTCCGCTTGCTTCTCATCTCCCCTTCCCCCGCCCCTGCCGCTGCTTCCCATCCCCACGGCACGCCAGCTGACACGTCAGCGTGCTGAGCTGGCGGCGTTCTTCCACGTGGGCATGAACACGTTCACGGACCGCGAGTGGGGCACAGGTGGTGAGGACCCGCGGCTGTTCAATCTGGCGGCGCTCAACGCGACGCAGTGGGTCGACACCGTCAAGGCCGCTGGCTTCCAGTTGCGCCACGCCTCAAGCGCCCTTCAACGCCAGGCCTTAAGCGCCGGGCCTTACTAAGGTGCGCCTCGCTCTGCCGTAGTCGTGCGCGCCGGGGGGAGCCGTCCCCCCGGCCGGATTGCGTACCCGCGATGGCTGGTGGGGGCGGCCGTGTGGCGCAGGTGATGGCGCGAAGGGGGGGCACGCGAAGGGGGGGCCCGCGAAGGGGGGGCACACGAAGGGGGGCCACGCGGTGAGCCCGTGGGTGGGAGGGGCGCGCGGCAAAGGAAGGCATGTGTGGGGGACGCGGGGAGTGGAAAATCCCACGTGCCTTATGCCTCGTCACTGGTGTCCATACCACTTTGTTACCCGTATCCCCAACCCCCGCACCCCACGTGCGCACACCCAAGCTTCACAACGCCTTCCGCCTCAGGCCCCTCCCTGCCCCGCGCCCTTCCACTCATTGTGCATTTCACCCTTCTCGCCTGCTTGCCTCTCCGCTCTCTCTCCCCTCCCTCCCCTCCCTCCCCGCACCTCCAGCTGGTGGTGCTGATAGCGAAGCACCATGACGGCTTCTGCCTGTGGCCCTCAGCGCTCACCAACCACTCCGTGCGCCACTCGCCCTGGAAGGCCGGCCGGGGGGACGTCGTTGCTGACGTGGCGGCAGCGGCGCGGGCGGCGGGTGTGGGGGTGGGGTTGTATCTGTCGCCGTGGGACTGGCACGCGCGGGCGTATGAGGAGAGCGTTGAGGCGCACAACGCCTTCTACGAGGGGCAGCTGCGCAAGCTGCTCACCCGGTGCGTGAGGGGGGGGATGGGAGTGCTCGCGTGGTGGGGGGGGGGGGAGGTATGGTGGTGGCTGGGGATGGGGAGCGGGCAAGCATGATGGGTAGCAGTGGGTTTGGGTGTATGAGCACGGGGCAGAGGTGTGTGAGCAGTAGGGCAGTGGTGGTAAGGGAAGTGGTGATGGTAGTGGTGAGGGTAGTGGTGGGGGGATGGAGGGAGAGGGCATGATGTTATTGCAGAGCATTCACGCGCCCTCTTCACCCCGTACTTCCTATTCACCCCGCACTTGCTCTTCACCCCGCACTTGCTCTTCACCCCGCACTTGCTCTTCACCCCGCACTTGCTCTTCACCCCGCACTTGCTCTTCACCCCGCACTTGCTCTTCACCCCGCACTTGCTCTTCACCCCGCACTTCCTCGCTGCTGACTCTAGCAACTCTATTCCCCTTTTCTCCCTCCACCTCTCTGTCTGCTCCCCTGCATCGTACCTCGCCTCCCTGTGTCACCTGTATCTCCACTCTTGCATCTTATTTGCCCCGCTTTCCTCATTTCCTCCCACTCCCTCTTTCTTCTTTTCCTCGTTCAACGTGCCTTTGAAGATACAATTTTCGTATCTCAAGCCGCAGCGCCTCTCCCACGTCCTATCCGCCCAGCACGTTGTGCGTGATGCACCGAGCTTGTACGAGGAGCTTCAACCCTGCCCTGCCCTGCCGCCTGCACCCTGCCTGGCAGCTACGGGCCCGTGGCGGAGGTGTGGCTGGACGGCGCCAAGGGGGACCGCCGCCCCATGACCTACCACACTGCCACGTGGCAGGCTCTCATTCGCCAGCTGCAGCCGGCAGCGGCGGTGTTTTCAGCGCAGGGCCCCGACATGCGGTGGGCGGGCAACGAGCGCGGCGAGGCGGGCGAGCCGTGCTGGGCCATGGTGAACGGCAGCTCGTTGACCCTGGAGGGATGGGACACCGAGTGAGTGCCCACGGTCACTGGGGTGGCACTGGGAGTCGAGTGGGGTGGCACCGGGGGCCGACTGGGGGGCGAGTGGGGGCGTACGGGGGGTGAGTGGGAGGACAAATGGGGGGCCGAGTGGAGGGTGAGTGGGGGACGTCATTGCCCTTTTTCTTGTTTCCACATGCGCCCATCCATGCGCCCCCTTGTGCACAACCATGGATTTGCATGCATCCGGTGTGCCGTACATACATGCCATCCCCCTGTTCCCACACCCCTGCCACCCTCTCTCCTTCACCACCCACTCCTTCCGAGTCCCAACCCATGCCTTTCCAACCCATCCACCCCGCCCGCAGCTACCTGAACCACGGTGATGTGGCGGGCACGGATTGGATGCCAGCAGAGTGTGACGTGTCCATCCGCCCGGGGTGGTTCTGGCACCCCTCGGAGCGCCCCAAGCCCCTCGCCCATCTGCTGCACCTCTACTTGGCCTCGGTGGGGCGCGGGTGCTCGCTGCCGCTCAACGTGACGCCCAACACCACGGGCCTGCTGCACGGGGAGGACGTGCAGCGGGTGGGGCAGTTGGGCCGCGCGCTTCAAGTGCTGTTCCAGGAAGAGGTCAGCCCCGGTGCTCACGTGCACGCCAGTAGCGTGTATGGCTGCGAGGAGGGACGAAGGCGGAGCGGGAAGGAGGAGAGGGATGCTGGGAGGGGAGGGTTCGGGAGGGAGTTATGGGGGTGGTGGGGGGGATGGGCGCGAGGGAGTGGGTGTGAGTACAGGCCTGAGAATGTGCTGAGTGCAGGGGATGGCACCTTTTGGGCGGCTGAGGATGGGGTGCTGTCTGCTACTCTCCAATTCGACCTCGGGCAGGTGAAAACCTTTCATGTGGTGCGTCTGGAGGAGCCTGTGGCGTACGGGCAGCGGATAAAGTCGTTCACTGTGGAAGTGCTCGACCCGGACCCTACTGCTGCACGCGCCGCCACTCCAGCTGCCGCTGCGGCCCAAGTCAGTGCTGCTGGTGCTGGCGGGTGTGGGTCAGGCGGGTGTGGGTCAGGCGGGTGTGGGTCAGGCGGGTGCAATGGCAGGGATGGTGTGCTTCCCCCCCTGCCTGGTGTGCCGGGCGGGAGTGTGCACGTGGCCCACACACCGCATGGCGCCCAGGGGGCAGTGCGCAGCATGCTGGAGCGCACGGGGAGGGCGGGGAGAGCGGGCGAGTGGAGGGTGATAGCGAGTGGCAGCACAGTGGGGCGCAAGAGGCTGTTTTGGGTGGGGGCAGTGAGAGCGCGGCATGTGAGGGTGGTGATTCACGATGCGCGGGCTGCCCGCTGCTCTCCTACGTTGCACTCTACAGGAGTGGCGACCCGAGTGCAGTATGACGCGTGAGAGGTCTACATGATACCTTATGGCTTGGGCTGTTTGATCTGCCTTGTGTGGACTGGACTGGACTCAACACAGGTCTGTCATGGGAGCCCTAGTGCTGCTGTCATGTGGGATTGCACATGGAGGAGCAAGCTGCAAGAGGTAAGTCGCCCACGCTTGATAGCTATTGTGCGTTGTACTTGTGGTATGAGCTCAGCTGTATGCTGTGCATTTTTCCACATCATTTGAAGCTGTATGTATATAGTGAAATGCAATCTAATTTTTGCTGAAACACCTGATTCTGCTATTCGAGTCTTCAACTTAAAGCAAGGGTGCACTTTGGGGGGGGTGGACCCAAAAGTTTATCACTTGCCTTTGGTGGTTACCCTGTTTGTGAGGGGGAGTCAGACGAGAATCAAAGTTCAGTGTTGGCGGACTTGCGCGGGGTATCTCTCCCCCGTCGTCAGCTGCGACGCCCCTGCACAAAGTTGGGAACTTGAGGGCGTGTCCCACGAGTTCGTTTACAGTTCATCTTCATGTTTGTTACCCTATTTTGTGATTGTAACACTCTACTGTATACATGCGAGTTAAATGACGCATGACAATTGACGCTTTTTCCACGTCGACGTGTTCGTTTTGAACGCGTTTAGAAAGAGAACCTACGAACGTGCGATCACCTCGAACAGGTCCGCGTGAGGGGTTACCGTAAGCTCCAAATTCGCCCAACCCATGGTCTCGCGAAAACAATGACCGTCGCCAGGGGTACCGAGTCGCGGATTCTGTCAATTGTGAATCGCGGGTTACCGCTCGCGGATTCTGTCAATTGTTAATCGCTTGACGAAATTTTGTGTGGGCGGGACTATGCGTCCGCCTGGTGCAATTCCGTTTTGCTCGGTGCTGACACATTCCGTTTTTTTTCCCGTCAGAGTGTACACTCCTTTGCTGACTCGCAGTTTACGTAAAAAAAAAAAGGATTTTCCCCTAAACGAACTCATGGGACACGCCCTGAGTGTGTGTTGCGGTTTGTGAACCAAAACGGGATGTCCAGTGCCTACGCATTTTCTCGTTCAGATGTTCGTGAATGCTTGTGCGACTTCGCTAACAATTCGAACCGTGGTGACACTTTTTCCTTCTTTCAACGGTTCAGAATGTGAACAGCGTACAGTCCGAAACCAAAACGGACAGTCCGCCAGTCCTGGCTAGAGATTGGCGCGCGAAACACAATCTACAGTACCTCTACCGATTGGCGGACGAATTTTGATTACGATCTGTCGCGAACTACGTTACGAGGATACACCACCTCTAACGAGGCTACAGTTCTCGCCTAAATTACGAGCAAGCAAAAAGTGTCACTTTCCTATCCGGACGGGGGCAAAGTACCGAAACGTCAAAACGGACGGTTCTGTTCTCGTTAGTTGGACCGTCCGTTTCAAAATATGAGGACCGTCCGCAAAAACGCAAAAAATCAAAATGGTTACACGCCCTTATCACTTGGCCAAGGAGACGCCAACCAAAACAGCAAGACGAGCACCAGCCTAGTTAGTCTAAACGACCAGCATACACCCGCACATCGCCTTCATTTCGCCCGCATTTGCCATTAGTTTTGTTCGCACTCACTCGACACCATCCGCCTGTCGAACATCGCGTTGCGCATTTAGGGCGCTTTTATCCGCCAAGGCGCACGCAGAGGGCGCTACTTGACCAAACAGGCGAAGGGACGTCCGCGCTCACATCCCTCGCCTAACGTGCAGCGAAATCGTAAACCATCTATTGCACTGCCCGGCATCGCACGCGTTTCCGTGTCGACGTTGCCATCGCTCACTCCCTCTCATAGCCCACGCACACTCCCCTCGTCCGCCCCCGCGCACTCCCCTCGTCCGCCCACTCACACTCCCCTCGTCCGCCCCCGCGCACTCCCCGCGTTCGCCCACTCACACTCCCCTCGTCCGCCCCCGCGCACTCCCCGCGTTCGCCCACTCACACTCACCTCGTCCGCCCCCGCGCACTCCCCGCGTTCGCCCACTCACACTCCCCTCGTCCGCCCCCGCGCACTCCCCTCTTTCGCCCACGCTCACTCCCTTCCCGTCGGGCACGCGACGCTTCCTGCCATTTCACACGCTCCCTCCAAGAGGTCGCCCACGCTCATTCCCCTCCGTCACCCACGTCCATTTCCCTCCGTGCTGGTTTAGTACCAGCAGCCCCAGTCCTTTCCCCCTTTGCGACCCGCAACTCCCTCTCCCCCCTGCTTCCCCGCCGTCTCCTCCCTGCTTCCCCTCCTTTCCTGGACTGCTTCCCCTATTCCCCCCCCCCACCCCCCCTGCTTCCCATCACGAAGGTGGCACGGGATCAAGCAGCATTTCGTGCGACGTGCGGACGACCAGCGACACAGCGCGGCGGCGAGAACAGGAGTTGAGCTGCTAAGGCGCGGTTGTGCCAAGGGGTTGCGAGGAACGGGTGCACAGCCTGGTTTGGTATGCATTGACGTCTTGTCGGGGGCCTGTTCCTTATTTTCCACAACCCCCTCGCACGCACATTGCCGCTACTCCACTCCCCGCCCCTCTGAACGCATCTCACTTGCGCGCTTGCCGCTTCTCGCTCCCACCCTAATCCCCTGTTTTCCAGCGTTACATACCTTCTGCACCTTTCACCTCTCAGCCTTACTCTCGTCTTCATCCTAAACCCTCTCTGCCTTACGCCCATCCTCCCCTCACTCGCACTCATTCTTACACCCTTCTTCCGCCTCTCCCCTCACTGCCTTACACCCTTCTTCCAACTATCCCCTCTCTACCTTACGCCCTGCTTCCCCCTTTCCCCTCGATTCCCTACACCATTATTCCCTCTCTCCCCTCCCTGTCTTACACCCTTGTTCCCCCTTTCCCCTCTCTGCCTTACCCCCTTCTTCCCGTTCTCTGCCTTACGCCCTGCCTCCCCTTTTTCCCTCTCTTCCCTACATCCTTCTCCCCCGTATCCCCTCTCTGCCTTACGCCCTGCCTCCCCTTTTTCCCTCTCTGCCCTACATCCTTCTCCCCCGTATCCCCTCTCTGCCTTACCCCCTTCTTCCGCCTTTTCCCCCTCCCAGCCGTACGCCATTCTCCCCCCATTTCCCCTCTTCCATACCCCCTTCTTCCCCCTTCCCCCTCTCTGCCTTACGCCCGTTTCCCCCCTTACGCCACTCTGCCTTACTCCCCTTCTTCCACCTTTTCCCTATCTCCCTTGCTTCCTTCTTCCCCCTACCCTCTCACTGCCTTACACTCTTCTTCCCCCTTTCCCCTCTCTTCTTCCCTACACTCTTCTTCCCCACCTCCCCTCTCTGCCTTACTCCCTTCTTCCCCCTTTCCCTTCCCTCCGTACACCCTACTTCCCCCACCATGCGTTCAGTTCCTTACACCGTGCTTCCCCTTTTTCCTCTCTTCCTTACACCCTACGAAACCCCTTTCCTCTCTCTGCCTTTCGCCCATCCTCCCCCCATTCCCTCACATCCTTACACCCTTCAACCCCCACCATGCGTTCTCTGCGTTACGCCCTTCATCCCCTATTCCCCACTCTGCCGGACCCCCTTATTCCGCCTTTCCACCCTCTATGCCTAGTACGCCCTTCATCCCCCTTCTCCCATCCTCCTTTTACCCTTCTTCCCCCTTAGCCCCTCTCTTCCCTACACCATACTTCCCCCTTTCCCCGCTCTACCTTACACCCTTCTTCCCCCACCAAGCGTTCTCTCCCAAACGTCCTGCTAAACCCCTTTTCTATCACTCCCCTACACCCTGCTTCCCCCTCTCCCCTTCTTCCGCCTTTCCACCCTCTCCGCCATACGCCCTTCTACCCCCTTTTCCCCCTCTTCATACGCCTTTCTTCCCCCCGTTCCCTCCCTTCCTTACACCCAAAATCCCTAGAGCTACTCTGCCATACTCCCTTCTTCCCCCTCTCGCTACTACCTCCATGCTCCCTTACGCTACCCGCACCTCCCCCTCTCCCTTCTTCTCGCCTTTCCCTCGCTGCCCACACTTATCTTCCATGTATCCCCTCTCTGTCTTACACACTCCTCTTGCCCCTACCCTCTCTCTGCCATCCACACTTATTCCCCCTATCCCCTCTTGGCCTTACCCCCGATCTTCCACCTTTCCACCTCTCCGCCCTACACCCTTCTCCCCCCTTTTCCTCCCTTTCTACGCCCTTCTTCCCCCTTTCCCGTCTCTGCCTGGTTCCGCCCTTCTTCCCCCCGTTCCCTCTCTTCCTGACACCCTTTTTCCCCCGTAACGTCACTCTGCCATACTCCCTGCTTTCCCACTTCCCTCACTTGTCTACACCCTTCTTCCCCCTCTCGCTCCCTGTGCCCTTTCACGCATCTACCTCCATGCTCCCCCCCTTGCCCTCTCACGCTACGCTGTCGACTGTCCCCTCGCGCCTGAATCACATTCTCTCTATGACCGCTCTCTCTTTCAAACTCCATCTCCTCCCTCTCCTCTCTCTGTCCGATATCCCCTCCCTGTTCTTATTCCCCTCGCCAACCAGCGCCCTACGCGTCGGCCCCTCTGCACCTCTCTGCTCACAGTCTCCAATCCGCCACCCTCGCCGTCGCCGCGCCACTCCTTGGGGTGTAACATCAACACTCTCACACCGGAACAAGGTACATCACGCCAACTCTTCCTTGCCTCGCTCCTCCCTCTTCCTTCTCTCGTCTCCATCCCCTCTCCGCTCTGTTGTTCCCTTGCACTAATGCACTGCCCTCCATCGCACACGTCCGCGCGTCTCCGCCGCGTACGCTCTCCCCCTTATGTCGCCCACTCACGCTACCCTCCTTCGCACCTGCGCACTCCCCTCCCGTCGCCCACGCTGACTCCCCTCCTTCGCCCACGCTCACTCCCCTCCCAAGACGGGACGCGACGCTTGAGTTGTGACACTCGCTCCCTCCTCCAAATCGCCCACGCTCACTCCCATCAATGCTGGTTTTGTAACATCAGCCCCTGTCCTCTCCGCGCCTCCCCTCCGTCCCCCCCATGCATCCACGCCGTCCCCCCCATGCATCCACGCCGTCCCCCCCGTGCATCCACTCCGCGCCGGGGGCGGCGGCGCTGATGGACTCCGCGGACCCGCGCGTGGCGGCGCTGGCGCGCGCGCAGCAGCGGAAGAAGGGGAAGAGCAAGTGGGGTGACACTGCGTTCGGGGGCGTGGAGGACGTGGCGCGCGCCGAGGAGGACTTCCAGGTGGGGGGCGAGGGGACGGGGGGGAGGGTAAGGGGGGAAGGGGAAAGGGGAGTGAGGAGAGGGGAGGGGATGGGAGGGGAGGGGAGTGGAGGGGAGGGGAACAAGGATAGGGAGGGAGCAGGGGAGCAGAAAGAGAGGGCACGGGCAGAAGGAGGGGGGGGCGGGGGGAAAGGGAAGGTGGGGGAAGCGAGGGAGGGAATAGATATGGGAGGAAAAGGGGAGGGAGCAGAGGGGAGGTATGGAGGGAGAGCGTGGATGGATGTGTGTGGGTGGGGCGATTGGGATGGTGATCACACTGGACAGGTGAGGGAAGGGGGCTAAGTGAATCACAGGGGTGTTGAGTGCGGTGAGCCTCATGGTAGGGCCGGTTGGGGTGAATGCGTCTCAGAAACGGTTCACTGGGCAAGCGGTGCTGGCAGTGCTGGCGGTGGGGAGGGGGGAGTATTGGCAGTGGGGAGGAAGGAGTGCCGTGCTCCGAGCTGCTTGACCCTCACCCGCATTCTTTCCTCTCCTGCTCTGCCCTGCTTGGCATGCCGTGCCGTGCCGTGCCGTGCCGTGTCGTGCCGTGCCGTGCCGTGCTGCGCTGTGCTGTGTGCTGGGTGGTGTCATGGCATGGGCGCATGGGCTCATGGCATGGGCGCATGGGCTCATGGCATGGTGGCAGGGCGAGGAGGAGGAGGGGGAGGCGATGGAGCCGTTCAACCTGCAGCAGGAGCGCGAGGAGGGGTACTTCGATGCGGAGGGCAACTACGTGGAGTACAGAGAGGACACCGAGGCCACGGTGAGTGCAGGGAGGAAGAGGTGACGGTGAGAAGGAAGGTGTGGTTGTGGGTGCAAATGAGGGCCAAGACAGTGAGGCCAAGACAGTGAGGCCGCGCCACAGCAAGGAAGGAAGAGGTGATGGTGGCAAGGGATGCGTTTCAAACGCTTTCATCTGCCTCTCTTCCCTCTCCCCCTGCGCGCTGAATATTCTGGTGCTTGTTAGCACGGCAGCACCACGCACCCTGGCAGTGGTGTGGCCCCTCTCATGCCCTCCTCCCCTCTCCCCGTTTCCTCTCTCCCCCCATCCTCTCACACTCCCTCCCCCCCTTGCAGGATGGCTGGCGGCAGCAGCAGTGGATCCCACGCTGGCGGCCAAGGCAGCAGCGCGCACAGGCAGCAGCGCGCACAGGCAGCAGCGCGACCCCTTCACATTCTCACCTCCCATCTTCCCCGCCTCTCCTTTGCCCATCTCCCTCTTCCCCCTGCCACGACGCATGGCTGGCAACAGCAGAGGTGGACCCCACCCAGGCCGCCAAGGCAGCAGCACCACCCCTCCACGCATACTCACTCCAGCACGAGCCTGGAGGACGGCAGCGACGCCGACGACTGGGAGGAGCCCGCCCGCCACGCCGCCAACGGCGCCGCGGAGGCGACCGGCAACGACTCCGCTGAAGCCGCGTCTCCGGCCGCCACGGACCGCCGCGACTCCCCCAGTCGCGGCGACTCGCAGTTGCAATCGCCGTCGCGGTCGTCGCGATCGTCGTCGTCGCAGTCGTCTAGGTCGTCGGCGTCGTTGCGGTCGTCACACAGCGACGGGGAGAGTGAAGATCGAGGCGCTGGGGACGAGAGGAGGGAAGGCAATGGGGAGAGAGAGGAGGAGAAGGAAGGCGGGTATGACGGTGAAGGGATGGGAGGGGATGTGAAGGGCAGCGGTGGCGAGGAGTCGACGGGACGAGACCCGCGGGGTGATGGCGGCAAGGAGGGGGGAACGGGGGATGGGGGAACTGGGCTGGGCGTGAACCTGGACTTTGATGAGGACGACGGGAGTGACTATAACGAGTCTAGTGACGGTGAGGGGGGCGGGACGGGGAGTGACAGAAGCGGAGAGGAGTGGAGAGGAAGCGAGGGGGGGGAGGGGGGTGAGGGGGGGGAGCAGGAGCATGCGAGTGGCGTGAAGCGGAAGGAGCGAGGCGCGGGCGAGGCAGCAGAGGGGGATGAGCGGCCGGCGAAGCGGATGGAGGCAGGTGAGGGCGGGGGGGCCGAGGCGAAGGGGCTGCTGGTGCGCGTGGTGGCGGACCACTACAGCCGGCGCGACAACCAGCAGCGCCACGAGCGCGAGGCGAGTCCCATCATCCACCTCAAGAAGCTCAACAACTGGATCAAGTCCGTGCTCATCCGCATGCACACCCACCCCGCCCGCGGTGCGCGCGTGCTGGACCTGGCGTGCGGCAAGGGCGGCGACCTGACCAAGTGGGCGCGCGTGAACGTGGGCTTCTACCTCGGAGTGGACGTGGCGGAGGGCTCCGTGCACGACGCCATGGCGCGCTACAACGGCGACTCGCACCGCGGGGGAGGTGGGGGGGAGGGGGGGGACGGCGACAGGCGGCAGATGCGGTTCCCGGCGAAGCTGGCGTGTGCGGACTGCTTCGGCGTGGCGTTGGACCGCGAGTTGCTGCCGTGGGCGCCGTTTGACATCTGCTCCACGCAGTTTGCCCTGCACTACTCCTTCGAGACCGAGCAGCGTGCACGCTGCGGGCTGCGCAACATTGCAGCGCTGCTGCGGCCGGGCGGCATGTTCATCGGCACCATCCCCGACGCCAACGTGCTCGTTCAGAAGCTGCGCGCCTCGCCGGACCTCAGGTTCGGCAACTCTGTCTACTCGATAGAGTTTGCCTCGGAGTTTGCCTCGAAGAAGTTCCCCTCGGCGCGGCCGTACGGCATCCGCTACGAGTTCCGGCTGGAGGACGCGGTGGACTGCCCCGAGTGGCTCGTGCCGTTTGCCTTCCTGCAGCGCCTGGCGGGCGAGTACGGGCTGCACGCGATCTACCACGCCAACTTCCACTCCTTCATCAAGACGCACGCCGCCGTGGAGCCGCACGCGTCGCTGCTGCGGCGCATCGTGGGCGAGCGGTGGCGCGAGGAGATGACGGCGGACGAGTGGGACGCCGCTTACCTCTACTGCGTGTTCGTCTTCCGCAAGGAGGGCCCAGGGGGGGCTGAGGGGGGTGGCGCTGTGGGGGAGAGGAGGGAGGAGGTGATTAGGAGAATGGAGAGTGATGATATTCTCATTCTTTGATACCGTACTAGTACACGGTGCGGTGATGCGAGGCAAGGAAAGGGGAATCAATTTCACAATGTCAAGTTTTTATGACAGGAAATCCAGTGTATTGTCGTCTGGAATGTCACATAAAGAAATGTGTTGACGAAACTTTGAGAATTCGAGTGTCCAATGTGGGGAACGACTTCCATCAAAATTCATTTGATATGTGTGCTGCCCCTCCCATTCCTCCTACATCTAGTTCCGCCGTTGCCGTTACCGTTGCCTCAGCAACAGGGTGTCCCCTTCACTCACGCCACGCGCGCCCCCATGGACGCTTCTCCCCTCCGTCCCCGCGATCGCACCCCTCGCGCGCGCTGGCTTCTCCTTGCTGCTCCGCTGCTCCTCCTCCTCCCCGCGCTCGCATGTCTTCGTCCTCCTCCACTCGCCTCGCTCCCTTTCCTCCCTGTCTTTCGCCCTCCCACATCTATCCGCGTGCTTCTCCTCTCCCCTTCCTCCGCCCCCGCCGCTGCTTCCCATCCCCACGGCGCGCCAGCTAACACGTCAGCGTGCCGAGCTGGCGGCGTTCTTCCACGTGGGCATGAACACGTTCACGGACCGCGAGTGGGGCACGGGCGGCGAGGACCCGCGGCTGTTCAACCCGGCGGCGCTCAACGCGACGCAGTGGGTCGACACCGTCAAGGCCGCCGGCTTCCAGGTGCGCGCAACGCGCCGGGCCTTGAGGTGCGCCGGGTGAGCCCGTCCTCTCCCTGCGTCTCTCAGGCGGATTGCGTGCCCGCGGTGGGGGCGGCCGTGTGGCGCAGATAATGGCGCGAGGGCGGAGCGCGCGAGGGAGGAACGCGCGCGAGAGAGGAGCACGCGAGGGGAGAGCACGCAAGGAGAGAGCACGCAGGGGGAGAGCACGCGGGGGGATAGCACGTGAGAGGATAGCACGCGAGGTGGAGGGGGGGTTGGTGAGTGGCTGTCGCTGGTGAGCTGTGGGCGGTGGGCACGTGGCAGGGGAGGCGCGCGTGGGGGAGACGCGCTGTCGAACCCGCGCCCGACACTTGCATGCGCGCTGCTGCTGTTGCTACTGTTGCTGCTGGGCAGGTGGTTCAAACAACCAGCTGCTTCACGTCGTGTGCCCCCTGCTGCATACCCCATGTCTGTATCCCACACCTGCCATTCTATGGTTATCCCACACATACCCACAACCCCCACACCTCTTGCGAGCCCACCCAAGCTTCACAGCCCCTCCGCGCCTTCATCGTCTCTGCGCTGCTCCTCAACCCTCTCAACCATCATGCTCCTCTCACCCCTCTCAACCATCATGCTCCTCTCACCCCTCTCAACTATCATGCTCCTCTCACCCCTCTCAACCATCATGCTCCTCTCACCCCTCTCAACCATCATGCTCCTCTCACCCCTCTCAACCATCATGCTCCTCTCACCCCTCTCAACCATCATGCTCCTCTCACCCCTCTCAACCATCATGCTCCTCTCACCCCTCTCAACCATCATGCTCCTCTCACCCCTCTCAACCATCATGCTCCTCTCACCCCTCTCAACCATCATGCTCCTCTCACCCCTCAACCATCATGCTCCTCTCAACCATCATGCTCCTCTCACCCCTCTCGCCCCGCGTCCCTTCCCCAACCCCAACCCCCCAGCTGGTGGTGCTGACAGCCAAGCACCACGACGGCTTCTGCCTGTGGCCCTCCGCGCTAACCAACCACTCCGTGCGCCGCTCGCCCGGAGTTATACCTGTCGCCATGGGACCGCAACGCGCGGGCGTATGAGGAGGGCGTTGAGGCGTACAACGCCTTCTACGAGGGGCAGCTGCGCGAGCTGCTCACCCGGTGCGTGAGGGGGGGATGGGAGTGCTCGCGTGGTGGGGGGGGGATGGGGAGCGGGCAAGCATGATGGGTAGCAGTGGGTTTGGGTGTATGAGCGCGGGGCAGAGGTGTCTGAGCAGTAGGGCAGTGGTAAGGGTAGTGGTAAGGGCAGTGGTAAGGGCAGTGGTAAGGGCAGTGGTAAGGGCAGTGGTAAGGGCAGTGGTAAGGGCAGTGGTAACGGCAGTGGTAACGGCAGTGGTAAGGGCAGTGGTAAGGGCAGTGGTGAGGGCAGTGGTGAGGGTAGTGGTAAGGGCAGTGGTAAGGGCAGTGGTAAGGGCAGTGGTAAGGGCAGTGGTAAGGGCAGTGGTAAGGGCAGTGGTAAGGGCAGTGGTAAGGGCAGTGGTAAGGGCAGTGGTAAGGGCAGTGGTAAGGGCAGTGGTAACGGCAGTGGTAAGGGCAGTGGTAAGGGCAGTGGTAAGGGCAGTGGTAAGGGCAGTGGTAAGGGCAGTGGTAAGGGCAGTGGTAAGGGCAGTGGTAACGGCAGTGGTAACGGCAGTGGTAAGGGCAGTGGTAAGGGCAGTGGTGAGGGCAGTGGTGAGGGTAGTGGTAAGGGCAGTGGTAAGGGCAGTGGTAAGGGCAGTGGTAAGGGCAGTGGTAAGGGCAGTGGTAAGGGCAGTGGTAAGGGCAGTGGTAAGGGCAGTGGTAAGGGCAGTGGTAAGGGCAGTGGTAAGGGCAGTGGTAACGGCAGTGGTAAGGGCAGTGGTAAGGGCAGTGGTAAGGGCAGTGGTAAGGGCAGTGGTAAGGGCAGTGGTAAGGGCACTGGTAAGGGCAGTGGTGAGGGCAGTGGTGAGGGCAGTGGTGAGGGCAGTGGTGAGAGTAGTGGTGAGAGCAGTGGTCAGGGCAGTGGTAAGGGCAGTGGTAAGGGCAGTGGTAAGGGCAGTGGTAAGGGCAGTGGTAAGGGCAGTGGTAAGGGCAGTGGTAAGGGCAGTGGTAAGGGCAGTGGTAAGGGCAGTGGTAAGGGCAGTGGTAAGGGCAGTGGTAAGGGCAGTGGTAAGGGCAGTGGTAAGGGCAGTGGTAAGGGCAGTGGTAACGGCAGTGGTAAGGGCAGTGGTAAGGGCAGTGGTAAGGGCAGTGGTAAGGGCAGTGGTAAGGGCAGTGGTAACGGCAGTGGTAACGGCAGTGGTAAGGGCAGTGGTAAGGGCAGTGGTGAGGGCAGTGGTGAGGGTAGTGGTAAGGGCAGTGGTAAGGGCAGTGGTAAGGGCAGTGGTAAGGGCAGTGGTAAGGGCAGTGGTAAGGGCAGTGGTAAGGGCAGTGGTAAGGGCAGTGGTAAGGGCAGTGGTAAGGGCAGTGGTAAGGGCAGTGGTAACGGCAGTGGTAAGGGCAGTGGTAAGGGCAGTGGTAAGGGCAGTGGTAAGGGCAGTGGTAAGGGCAGTGGTAAGGGCACTGGTAAGGGCAGTGGTGAGGGCAGTGGTGAGGGCAGTGGTGAGGGCAGTGGTGAGAGTAGTGGTGAGAGCAGTGGTCAGGGCAGTGGTAAGGGCAGTGGTAAGGGCAGTGGTAAGGGCAGTGGTAAGGGCAGTGGTAAGGGCAGTGGTAAGGGCAGTGGTAAGGGCAGTGGTAAGGGCAGTGGTAAGGGCAGTGGTAAGGGCAGTGGTAAGGGCAGTGGTAAGGGCAGTGGTAAGGGCAGTGGTAAGGGCAGTGGTAAGGGCAGTGGTAACGGCAGTGGTAAGGGCAGTGGTAAGGGCAGTGGTAAGGGCAGTGGTAACGGCAGTGGTAAGGGCAGTGGTAAGGGCAGTGGTAAGGGCAGTGGTAAGGGCAGTGGTAAGGGCAGTGGTAAGGGCAGTGGTAAGGGCAGTGGTAAGGGCAGTGGTAAGGGCAGTGGTAAGGGCAGTGGTAAGGGCAGTGGTGAGGGCAGTGGTGAGGGCAGTGGTGAGGGCAGTGGTAAGGGCAGTGGTAAGGGCAGTGGTAAGGGCAGTGGTGAGGGCAGTGGTAAGGGCAGTGGTAAGGGCAGTGGTAAGGGCAGTGGTAAGGGCAGTGGTAAGGGCAGTGGTAAGGGCAGTGGTGAGGGCAGTGGTGAGAGTAGTGGTGAGGGTAGTGGTGAGGGTAGTGGTGGGGGGATGGAGGGAGAGGGCATGATGTTATTGCAGAGCATTCACGCGCCCTCTTCACCCCGTACTTCCTCTTCACCCCGCACTTGCTCTTCACCCCGCACTTGCTCTTCACCCCGCACTTGTTCTTCACCCCGCACTTGCTCTTCACCCCGCACTTGCTCTTCACCCCGCACTTGCTCTTCACCCCGCACTTGCTCTTCATCCCGCACTTGCTCTTCACCCCGCACTTGCTCTTCACCCCGCACTTCCTCGCTGCTGACTCTAGCAACTCCATTCCCCTTTTCTCCCTCCACCTCTCTGTCTGCTCCCCTGCATCGTACCTCGCCTCCCTGTGTCACCTGTATCTCCACTCTTGCATCTTATTTGCCCCGCTTTCCTCATTTCCTCCCACTCCCTCTTTCTTCTTTTCCTCGTTCAACGTGCCTTTGAAGATACAATTTTCGTATCTCAAGCCGGCAGCGCCTCTCCCACGTCCTATCCGCCCAGCACATTGTGCGTGATGCACCGAGCTTGTACGAAGAGCTTCAACCCTGCCCTGCCCTGCCGCCTGCGCCCTGCCTGGCAGCTACGGGCCCGTGGCGGAGGTGTGGCTGGACGGCGCCAAGGGGGACCGCCGCCCCATGACCTACCACACTGCCACGTGGCAGGCTCTCATTCGCCAGCTGCAGCCGGCAGCGGCGGTGTTTTCAGCGCAGGGCCCCGACATGCGGTGGGCGGGCAACGAGCGCGGCGAGGCGGGCGAGCCGTGCTGGGCCATGGTGAACGGCAGCTCGTTGACCCTGGAGGGATGGGACACCGAGTGAGTGCCCACGGTCACTGGGGTGGCACTGGGAGTCGAGTGGGGTGGCACCGGGGGCCGACTGGGGGGCGAGTGGGGGCGTACGGGGGGTGAGTGGGAGGACAAATGGGGGGCCGAGTGGAGGGTGAGTGGGGGACGTCATTGCCCTTTTTCTTGTTTCCACATGCGCCCATCCATGCGCCCCCTTGTGCATAACCATGGGTTTGCATGCATCCGGTGTGCCGTACATACATGCCATCCCCCTGTTCCCACACCCCTGCCACCCTCTCTCCTTCACCACCCACTCCTTCCGAGTCCCAACCCATGCCTTTCCAACCCATCCACCCCGCCCGCAGCTACCTGAACCACGGTGATGTGGCGGGCACGGATTGGATGCCAGCAGAGTGTGACGTGTCCATCCGCCCGGGGTGGTTCTGGCACCCCTCGGAGCGCCCCAAGCCCCTCGCCCACCTGCTGCACCTCTACTTGGCCTCGGTGGGGCGCGGGTGCTCGCTGCTGCTCAACGTGCCGCCCAACACCACGGGCCTGCTGCACGGCGAGGACGTGGAGCGGGTGGGGCAGTTGGGCCGCGCGCTGCAAGTGCTGTTCCAGGAGGAGGTCAGCGCTGCTGCTCGCGTACACGCCAGCAGCGTGTATGGCTGCGGGGGGGGATGGAGGCGGAAGGAAGAGGAGGAGAGGGATCTACGAAAGGAATGGTTTGGTTTGGGGTTATGGGGATGGTGGGGGGGTTGGGGGCGAGGGAGTGGGTGTGAGTACAGGCCTGAGAATGTGCTGAGTGCAGGGGATGGCACCTTTTGGGCGGCTGAGGATGGGGTGCTGTCTGCTACTCTCCAGTTCGACCTCGGGCAGGTGAAAACCTTTCATGTGGTTCGGCTGGAGGAGCCTGTGGCGTACGGGCAGAGAGTAAAATCGTTCACAGTGGAGGTGCTCGACCCGGACCCTGCTGCTGCAGCCGCCGCCGCCATTCCAGCTGCCCCTGCTGCCGACGGTGGTGGTGCTGGTGCTGGCGGGTGTGGGCCAGGCGGGTGCAATGGCGGGGATGGTGTGCTGCCGTCCCTGCCTGGTGTGCCGGGCCTGGGAGAGAATGCGCTCCACACACTGCATGGCGCCCAGGGGGCAGCACGCAGCATGCAGGAGAGGACGGGGAGTGCTGGGAGGGCGGGCGAGTGGAGGGTGGTGGCGAGGGGCAGCACTGTGGGGCATAAGAGGCTGTTTCGGTTGGAAGCAGTGAGCGCGCGGCATGTGAGGCTTGTCATTCACGACGCCAGGGCTGCCCCGCTGCTCTCCTTCTTTGCGCTCTACAGGAGCGGTGATTGGAGCACCATATGATCTCACGGGCCCTACCAGATCACTGTGCAATACACCAACTCACTGCTGCTGCCGCTGCATCTTCCAGGCCAATCCTACATCTCCCCGCTTACCACTAGCAGTCCTTTATTCGTGCTGTATAGCGGAAAGGAGAATAGAACTAGATGCCTGGTTTTTTTTTAGCTTTTATTATGCAGGTCAACAGATGGTGACGTTTCTACATGTATATATGGTAATGGAAGTTTTCAAGAAGTAGAAGGAATGGAATGGTGTGACTAGCAAGGGTTGGGATACAAATACATAGCCCTAAATCGTTTGTACCCCCTATTGCATGCCTCACTATAGCCTACAAAACATATGCAACATTTGACACACCCCCATAGGCTAAGAGAGGGGCAACAAAACGAGCAAGAGAAACAAATGGTCACAAGACCAGTCAAGAGCAACAAAAACACAAAGCTCTCGGTGGATCACGAAGCTACCACACAGTCTGAGCACAAACAAGAGGTCACAAGGCTAGTTCAAGAGTTCACAAATATATATATAATCACAAACCTAAGCGGAACAAGAAACAAGAGGCAAGACTACAGCAACCGAGGGCCTGCCTCAACTAGGCCTAGCTGCAGTCAGAACCTGTGGTGGTCAACAGGCGGAAGGGCCTTGGTGAAGATGACTGCAGTGGTGGTCGCTGGGGCCACAAAGTCCAAGCATGCCTGGCTGCATCGCTACAGCTTTGCAGTAGGTACCTCACGTCGATGTGCTTCACAAGGATCATGGCCTTGTTGTCAGCGAACAAGGTCGGTGCAGAGCTCGGTCGCTCGCCAAGGTACCGTCAGCCCCCGGATAGAAGCGCCCCTGGGGTTGTAATAAAACAATGTTTTTTAGGGGGTGCGCTTATAATTGAGGATTTTTATAAGCGCCGGCGTCTATAAAATGGCAAATGTGAAATATGTTTTTTTTACATGTAACTGAAGCTTTTTCGAAAGGGGATTCTATCCACATCCAGAATGTTCGAATCCGTGCATGAAAAACGTGTGAAATGGCCAACAAGGCGTGGCATCACTGCCGCCACGCCTTGTTGGCCTGGCCAGATTCATCGTACATGAATCTCGCGCATGCCAGCGCACACGCTGTTTAGTGTAGGACTGCCCAATCAGGGTCCATGGCCGTGCCTACCACGACGCAGAACAGCCGCGAACCGGGCATATGCGGCAAGATTCCTTGCCAACAACGCCCACACCTCACCACATCAGCTCCTCTGCGAGGAGATATTGACAGTGTAGTCCTTCTCCCTGCAGTGGAACTCGGGCCGCGAAGTTGGAGGGGTCTCGGGCGAGGGCTTGAAACAGGCTTCATTCTCACCTTTCTTCCCAGGTTTCTTGTTTTCTCTCGGCCTGCCTCTGCCATGGCGGGCCTTCCAGGCACCCATTTTCTCTTTAACCGCCGAGGTGCTGCTGCCAAACCTCCCGATTACACTCAGTGGCAGAGTCGCCCAGCTCCCATACCTCCTGCTCCTCCTGCGCCTCCTGCTCCTCCTGCGCCTCCTGCTCCTCCGGCGCCTCCTACTCCTCCCGCTCCTCCTAACGTCGTCATCAACGGTGTGCCCGTTCTGCAGCTTCTCCCTCGCGGCTACTCTGCTTTCGACGCGTACATCTCTGAGCCGGAGCCCGAGCACGAGGCCGAGCGCAGCGACGAAGATGAAACCGGTCCCGGTCTTTCGCCACGCTGGGGAGACCCGGAAGACTGCCCGCACGACGAATCCGCCACCGGTGCCGAAGAGGACGTTGAGTGGTGGGCGGCCGACGGTCTTCCAGAGGACTTGCCTGTCCCAAGTTTTCCCCCGCCCAATAAAAAAAGGCCCCACCCCTCCACCCAGAATCGTGATGCCCGCCCCCCGTCTCCCAGGAGCAGGCGCTCAAGGCACAAGCGGCACTCCTATACTTCTCAGGAGAAGCTTCACTGGATTTCACAGCTGGAGTCCGGTGCTGTGAGTGTGCGGAAGATGGCGCGCGACACTGGTATCTCCAGAAAGTCCCTGGCAGAATGGAAATCGCGGAAGGGTGAGCTGGAGGGCGCGCATGGGGCTCGCAAGCGTCTTCACGGGCGTGGTCGGTCTTCGTGGTACCGCGACATGGAGATCCAGGTCTACTCACGAATACTTGCAGCCCAAAAAAAAGTGCCTCGCAGTGTCGGTCGGCCGCCTGCAGCAGTGGTCGCGAGAGGTGATGAAGAGCCTGCATCCTGAGGTAAAGTGGGCAGGATCTCAGAGGTGGACCGAGCGTTTTCGGCGCCGCTGGAATCTCACTACTCGAGCGAAGACCCGTGTCGGCCAGAAACTATCCTCCGGTAAGTTGGTGTTGTTGTCTTCGCTCTGGTTTATCCCTATTCTAAACCGTTCGATGTGCTAATGTTTTTTTTATGGTTTCTGCCTCCCCATTCCTTCCAGAGTGCGAGACGCAGGTGCGGAACTTCTGGAAGTTCGTGCGACACACCCGCCGACAGTACGGCATCGACAACCGCTGGATCATTAATGCGGATCAGACCCCGCTCTGGCTCGAAATGCCAGCTGAACGCACGGTCGAGGAGGTGGGGGTCCGCTCCGTGCCCATCCGTAGCGGCGGCTATCAAAAGGAACGCGTGACGGTGATGCTCGCCTGCACCGCCAGCGGCGAGAAGCTCAAGCCTTGGGTGTTCTTTAAGCGCAAGACAGTTCCAAAGGGGAATTTCCCCTCCGGTAAGCCGAGCAGCTTGTGCAGTCCCGGTAAGATTTTGTCAGAACATATATATAGCTTATGCTGTTGTGTAGGCTATAGTGGGGTATCCCATAGGGGGTACAACCCAATTAGGGTTTCCCATATGTACTCACTTCATTCATAGTTCATTCATTCTCGTTCTACTATTCTCATGGTATCGAGCAGGTTCCCTCGTGGGAACTGTTCCTAGGGCCCACCGTTTTTTTTTTTTTTTTTCCTGCCCGGAGCGCACTCTGCCCCTACCCGGGTCGCGCTCCCCTCTCTCTTGGCCCCTAGTGGCCCCTTTAGCCGCCCGTCACGGCCCTTAGCCGCCCGCGCGCCGCCCGTCCCGGCCCCTTAGACGCCCGCGCGCCGCCCGTCCCGGCCCCTAGACGCCAGTGCGCCGCCCGGCCCGGCCCCTAGACGCCCGCGCGCCGCCCGTCCCGGCCCCTAGACGCCCGCGCGCCGCCAGTCCCGGCCCCTCGACGCCCGCGCGCCGCCAGTCCCGGCCCCTCGACGCCCGTGAGCCGCCCGTCCCGGCCCCTAGACGCCCGCGCGCCGCCCGTCCCGGCCCCTAGACGCCCGCGCGCCGCCCGTCCCGGCCCCTCGACGCCCACGCGCCGCCCGTCCCGGCCCCTAGACGCCCGCGCGCCACCCGGACCGACCCCTAGACGCCCGCGCGCCGCCCGTCCCGGCCCCTCGACGCCCGCGCGCCGCCCGTCCCGTCCCCTCGACGCCCGCGCGCCGCCCGTCCCGGCCCCACGCCGCCCTACCTGCGGCCCACTCACCGCCCTACCTGCGGCTCGCCCGCCGCCCTAACTGCGGCCTGCCCGCCGCCCCACTTGCGGCCCTACCGGCCCCCCTACCTACGGCCCGACCGCCGCCCTACCTGCGGCCCAACCGCCGCCCTACCTGCGGGAGCCGCCTAGCAGCAGAACCGCCGGGAGCCGAGCCGCCCTGCCGCCGAGCCGCCCGGGAGCCGAGCCGCCCTGCCGCCGATTCGCCCGGGAGCCGAGCCGCCCTGCCGCCGAACCGCCCGGGAGCCGAGCCGCCCTGCCGCCGAGCCGCCCGGGCGCCGAGCTGCACTGCCGCCGAGCCGCTGAGCAGCCGAGCCGCCCTACTGCCGGGCCGCCCGACCTGCCCTGTCCGGTGAGCACAGCCCCACTGTCACTGCGTGCCCTTCCCCTACTGCTTGCACTGCTCGTCTGTCGTCGTCATGGCTACCCCTAGCGTCCTCGCTTTTGACGCTGAGGGTCGAGCCATTGACTTTGAGGTCTGGGTCGACGACCTGCAGCTGTTCTTACAGTGCGATAGGGCGGACGGTCTTTCCCTCTTTGACCTCACCTCTGGCGCCTCTCCTGCCCCTGCTACTGATGCTGACCCCACTGTTCGCTCTCAGTGGGCCACCCGCGATGCTGCTGCACGTCTTGCTGTGCGTCGCCACCTGCCTACCACTGAGCGCGCGCACTTTAGTCAGTACAAGAGTGCTCAGACCTTGTACGACGCTGTAGTTGCGCGCTACTCTTCCCCTGCCACTGCTGCCCTGAGCCGCCTCATGCTACCGTACCTCTTTCCTGACCTTGCTGCCTTTCCCACCGTCGCTGACCTCATTACGCACCTCCGCACTAGTGACACTCGCTACCGCGCCGTCCTTCCTGCTGAGTTCTGCGCCAAGAACCCCCCCCCCATGTACATCACTCTCTATTACATCGTCACACGCCTCCCTGACTCCCTTCGCGTAGTCAGGGACCACTACCTCTCGGTCTGTCCCACCACTCTCACTGTCGACCTCCTCGAGAAGTCCCTCCTGGCGGCGGAGAAGAGCATCGTCGCTGTAGGAGCCTCTCGTGGTGACCCTCGCACCCCCATCTTTGAGGGGTGTTCTCCTTCCCCCCTGCTGCCCTCTGTTGCCTCTGCTGCTGCTGCCGACCTGCTTGGTCTTGAGTCGGTCTGCGCGGCGTCTGCCCCTAGCGGGAGACGCCGCCCTGGCAGGGGCAAGGGGGGCAAGGGCGCGGGTGGAGCTGGCGGGGGCGGTGGAGGAGGCGGTGGAGGCGGAGGAGGGAGTGGGGGTGGCGGTGGGAGTGGTGGCGGGGGCGGTGGTGGAGGTGGCAGCAGCGGAGGAGGAGGCGTCGGTGGCGGCAGCGGTGGGAGCGGAGGCAGCGGTGGTGGTGGAGGTGGAGGCAGCGGTGGCGGAGGGGGTGGAGCTGGTCGGGGTGGTGCCCCGCAGCGTAGCGGCCCTGGTGGTGGCCAGCGTCAGCAGCAGCAGCAGCAGCAGCAGCGTTCGCGGGA